ATATTGCCAGACACAGTAGGTCAGCAAAGGTGCTGGGACATTTCAACTTTAATGCCCAGTTTAAAACATTTCTTAGAAAAGTAATCAAATGCAATAAGTTGTATTACTTTGAAGTAGTAATCAAAATGGTTACATTGCTTATTACATTTTAGCAGGGTAACTAGCAGTCCAGCCTATTACATTTCCAAAGTAACCTTCCCAGCACTGAAAACAGCACAGGTCTGAGTGAGCGGGTCGTTCCTTCACACCTCAGCGCCTCCTTTTGAGAATCTCTGTCTCTCCTGCTGAGTTGAGGCCAGACAGCAGGCTGCTTATCAAACATTCAGACAATATGAAATCATTGGAGATGAATGATTGTTCAGCCACTGATGGGCAGAGATAGATGCTTTCATTATTTCTCAATTACAGGCTAGTGATGGACTGTGATGCAGAAAGAATCCATCTCCTCTCCATATTGTATTAATTCATCTTGAGCCCTGAGCAGGTCACCACAGCACTTTTCATATTTCCATCTGCTTCTCATCCGCTTGGCTGATGCTCTTGTCATGTAGGGACCAAACTACAAAATGCAACAGCAATGCATGGAGAACCAAACACAACCAGAGGCTTGGCATTATGATAACTGCAGATTTCCACAGTTTATAAGTTGATCTTGTGCATCAAGACAGCTTTTGGCAAGATAAGTGTGAATATAAACCCTGAGTCCTGTGATTTGCAAACCTTCCAGCTGTCACTGCAGTCTGTGTGTCACTCCGTGAGGAACCTGAATTCCTGCACATGGATGGTATGGCAATCTATTATTATTATTATTATTATTATTATTATTATTATTATTTTGTCATTCGCACTGTGATGATGGGCGAACGCTACATCACGCGCATACGGATGGAATGCCAGTGAAGCCCACTTGATCTGATGTGAGCCACGAGTGACAGTTTTGTCTGTTGGAACCAATGCTGGAATTTTTTTTCTCCATCTGCAGGGCTGGAAAGAAGAATGTCAAGGCCAGGAGCTCCAGCCTGGCTAAGTGCAGCGGTGTGAGGGACAGGGGCAGCTGATGGTACCAGACCCCAGGCAGTGTGGATCCTGCTGCAGACAGAACCCCCAGGAGAAGGGCGGGTTTGAAGAATGCATGGTTACTAACAGATTGCTTGTTATTCTGGTGTTGTTCAGTGGTATAGTAGCATATGCAGAGCAATAAGCATAATTAATAATATGTGACAACATTAATAACGATAAGTAGAGACTATCAAAGATATGAGCAGGGCCTGGATGAAGAGCTGTGGAAACAAGATCATGAGAACTTAGTGGAGATGCAGTGGGATATAAGCATATTATATTAAAAAAGATGCCATTCATAAACATTGATCAGACACAAATCATTCATTCACTATACAAACAAAACACAAAAATATAGTTGCAGATCCTCATGAATCAAGTAGCATCTCAGTGGGCCAAACCTACCAGATGTGCTTGAGCTGTTTTCCACACTCACACACGAAACAGACACAAAATGTGTCTCTCATTTACTTAGCCAGGCCTCCAGAAGCTGAGAGATTGTACGATTGAAGCCCTACATTTAGACTGCCTGAGCGTGAGGAGCCCAGCCAGAGCTATGGAGGTGTGCTCTTTGTAAGTCTTCACAGTCAGATTCCGTCTCCCATGGATGCCAGCAGCCCCGAGGCGCTTAGCAGCACTGGCTGTGAGATCTGTGTGCCCATCTGAGCACGGGCATCTCCAAGCTGAAGCCACACATCACGGCACATCCCTGCATGGCACCATATATCCCGACACAGCACTGCACCTCATGGCACATCCCCACACGGCACTGAACATCATGGCACATCCCCACATGGCACTGCATATCATGGCACATCCCCACACGGCACTGAACATCATGGCACATCCCCACACGGCACTGAACATCATGGCACATCCCCACACGGCACTGCATATCATGGCACATCCCCACACGGCACTGAACATCATGGCACATCCCCCACAGCACTGCACATCATGGCACATTCCCCCACAGCCATGGGCCCCATGTCAGGGTAACAGAGACCAGCATTTTGTCTCTGGATTCCACTCAGCGGCTTCAAACCTCTGGGTCGACATTGACTTGACGAAGGCTGAACACCCCCCCACCCCCTACCTGTCAAGTTATTATTTATATCATTGAAGAGTCACTTACAGGGGGCATCCATTCCCAGAGCTTCTCCCAGCAGACAGGCATGCAACTGGGAGCAGAGAACGGTGCTAAGAGCTGGTATACAGTAGCGCCACCTGCAGCCTTGTGGCAGTAGAGCGCCAACCCTGGCAGCTGGAGCCATTATCCTGAGCACGAGAGCCTTTTTTAAATTACGTAAATAAAACCACCCACTGGCACTGTTAAAAATATAAAGAAAAGTAAGATGCGTTATGTGAAGGGAGCTGAGTTTCCATATTGCTGATGCAGAATTATTGTTTATTTTTGTATTTTAATAGAGCTTAATGCAATGGAATGTAGTTAATGCCATTCAGCTGCTGGTGTGTAACGTGTAACATATTAAACATAGGAAAACTTAATGGGCACCAGCTAAAAGCGGGGAGGCTGGCCGATGGCACAGGAGGAAGATGGAGGTTTGTGTGAGAAGCAGAGCCGGGGTGGGGGGCAGTGGGGTGGGACACAGATCGGGCCGCTTATGAAGCTGCTGGCAGATGTGCTGCTCTGCACACAGCGGACCGTAGCATGTGCTGGAGGAGAGGATCCACATGGCAGGAAGATAGGGGTTCTCCAGAGGTGGGGAGGAACACAGAGCTGGGCAATGTTAGGGGGCAGAATCTGGGCGGCTCGCACCAAGAACATGGAGCCAGAAGGATCCAGAAGGATGGCTCCAGCTCCCTCAGACAAAAGGCAGCTACCATGTCAGTGAAAGCCAACAACCGAGCCAACAAAACGCTAATCAGCTTTTTAAGCAGATTCTGTAAAAGTGTCACAAATGTTCCTTGTCCAGGATGTTCTGTATCACTGGCTTTCTTACTGGGACCCCATACCATTAAGTCCTGCCCGACCAGGCTGGCTGCTACTGCAGGACACTCATGTCATGTCCAACAGAGAACGTCCAACAGAGAACATCATTACGGCTTAACCTTCACTGGGCCAGATCTCTCCTGGGTGTGGAGGGTTTCTCCGACTGCTTTGAGTAGATCACCGAGCCGGGTCTACTCCATGTGTCCATGTAGTAGCTTCTCTGCATATGTTTCCCTCTGGTCCTCCTGGTGCCGGTAGGACTTTCTGAGGCCTTCTAGTCAACAGCCCAGGGTAGTGAAGCCAAAGGGGAGAGAGAGAGGATTGTGATGGTGTTTTATTATGTTTTTTCTGACTACTGTTACTGTGATACTGTACTTTCCTATGGAAAGGTGTTGTAAATATCGTGTGTATATACGCTGTATCTGTCCCTCACCACTAGAGGGGAGTAAGGGCCGGTTTGTCTGTATACCTTGTTGTATGTGTTTTGTGTACAGTCAGGGAGACAGAGTAGACAGGGCAGCTGCATTTTCATTTCTTTATTTTTGGTAGATAAGCGTAATGTCTGGCGGGGAGCTTGTTTAGGGTTTTGTTATTTTGGCCTGGCTCTGGCTCGTCCCTGGAGATATGGCATGGATATCCCCGATCATACGCCTGCGTGCTGTGTGTGTCGTAGGGAGTTGGATTAGTGATGTAATGATCTGTACAGCACTTACTGTCGTGTGGCATTTTTATGCACCCGGTTCGGTCTTCTGCATGTCCTACCCTGGATGTGTAACTGCATGAACCCCCGAGAACCCCATGTCACTCACTCTGGCTGAGAACTGACTGGAAACTAACGATCAGACGCAACAATAACCAAAAAGACAAATTAACCAGTGAATCATACTCAGTAGGTTGTATAGCCCCCACATGCTTGTATGCAACTTCAGGACATGCTCCTAATGAGACGACAGATGGTGTCCTGGGGGATCTCCTCCCAGATCTGGACCAGGGCATCACTGAGCTCCTGGACAGTCTGAGGCGCAACCTGGCGTCAGATTGACCGTAACATAATGTCCCAAAGGTGTTCTATTGGATTTAGGTCAAGTGAGCATGGGGGCCAGTCAATGGTATCAATTCCTTCATCCTCCAGTATCTGCCTGCATACTCTCGCCCTATGAGGCCGGGCATTGTCGTGCACCAGGAAGAACCCAGGACCCACTGCACCAGCATAGGGTCTGACAATGGGTCCATGGTGCTGGGCAGAGAGCACAGGGCCCATTAGAGGACGTTGGGCCCTCAGGCCACCCTCATGAAGTCTCTCCTCATGAAGTCTGTTTCTGATTGTTTGGTCAGAGACATTCACACCAGTGGCCTGCTGAAGGTCATTTTGTAGGGCTCTGGCAGTGCTCATCCTGCTCCTCCTTGCTCAAAGGAACAGATACCGGTCCTGCTGATAGGTTAAGGACCTTCTTCGGACCTATCCAGCTCTCCTAGAGTAACTGCGTGTCAACATCCTGGAGGAGTTGGACTACCTGTGCAACCTCTGTAGGGTGCAGGTATCGCCTCATGCTACCAGTAATGACACTACAGCCAAATGCAAAACTTAGGTTAAGATGAGGAGGTAAAAATGTCAGTGGCCCCCACCTGTTAAACCATTCCTGTTTTGGGGGTCGTCTCATTGTTGCCCCTCTAGCACACTTGTTAATTTCATTAAGGCAGCTGAAACTGATTAACAGCCCCCTCTGCTACTTAACTGAGCAGATCAATATCCCAGAAGTTTAACAGACTTGATGCTATATTCTGATTAAAAGATGTTCCTTTAATTTCTTTTGAGAAGTGTACATGCCCCTAACAAAGGCTAAATCCCCCCCCCCCCTGTCAAGTTATTATTTATACTATTCCACAGCCAATTACAGGGGGCATCAATACCGGATTACACACACACACACACACACACACACACACACACACACACACACGTCAGTGAAGTATGGAAGGGCAGATGGGCACTTTCACACTAAAATTTTATTTCCCAAAGACTGAGCTAAAAGGACATTAAAAATACCAGCACAGTAAGCAGCCTCTTCTGTCTCTCTGTTCACCCAGCAGAAGGTATGAAACATTTAATAAAACATTTTCAAAAAGACTAATGATTTGAGAAAGAAAATGTATTAAACAATGAGCGGCATGAGGGAGGTACAGTTACTGCTGAACTAAGGGAAACTCCAATTAATCAACAAGACTCCAAAGCTCCTTGCCTAAGGTGAGCACAGGGAAAACAAACATGTTTAATATCAAATGCCATTTAGAAATCCAACCAGCAGGAGCCGACTTAGCGAACTCCCACAGCACTGCGGCCGCCCAAGGTTCGACACTGTACCGATTTATAGGATAGTACAACTGTGTTTAAAAGTATTATGAAGACATTTACCTTACTGGCATCTACAAGCTCTAAGGTACAGAAAATGTTCACATTTATCTCTTTCGGCTGCTGTGACCAAGGAACAAGATAAAGTAGCAACCTGTGACTTTTTTGCCCCACATTACTTCTAAATTAGACTTTGCTATAAAAATAATAAGGCTTGAGTGCTAAATCTTGACACTATCACACTTACACACGTCAACATCAGCCTTTCTGGACACTGCTGTTCCCATAGCATCACCAGCTGGTGGTGAAATCACCTAAAATACAGGGACAGATGCCCCCTATGGGCCGCAATGTGAAAACGACATAAGAACACCCGAAAGCTAGGAACACCTGCAATGTGTAAAATATAAATCTTATTCTAAAAGCAACATTTTTAATCTTGCATTTTATGTTAAGAACAATCACTACTCATTGTTTTTAGTTCTTATCCCCCTAAACACACTCAGCGGTTACAGTCAACATCGTCCCATTTTGAAATCCCCACCAGCGGTTGAGGCCCCCCCCCCCCCCCGGGGTGGGCAGGACTTTAGGGGTTAAATAACAGCCATACCAGCTACCTGAGCCATTGTCTGCTGTTCCCTACATGGCCACAGTGCGTGTAATTCATTCTTTCAGTGTGAGCTCACAGTCATTCAGTAGGGGAATTGAATTCTGACCACAACATGAATGATAATAAATTATTCAAGTACTAAATTATTCCTTTGCATTTTACGGCCCCTGGACAGTCATGACTGGCTTTTCCAGATAATCAGTTTATAATCAATTTGTGCTGTAGACATTGGCACAGAAATTACGCATAAACTGATCTTCACCTGCAATGTCCTTTCATCTCCTAACAGGGACAGGTACAGGGGACAGGCACAGGGACAAGGATGGAGACAGCGATGGGAACATGCATGGGGACAGGAATAGGCAGGAGGGCAGACATGAGGATGGGAACATTGACAGGGACAGGGATGAGCAACAGGGACAGGGATGGATACAAGGACAGGCGGGTATGGGGACAGGCACATGGACTGGGACAGGGATGGAGGCGGGCACATGGACTGGGACAGGGATGGGCACAGGGACGGAGGCGGGCACAGGGACGGGGCACAGGGACGGGGCACTTTATTCAAACAGAGATTAAACGGCAGGCTGGCCCAGATTGGGGCTGCACCAGCCTGCATAGGGAGTAACATTGGGGGGAGGTGCGTGTGTGTGTGAGGGAACACAGCACTCCTGTACATCAGAGACGCACACTCCCCTTTCACAGCTGGATTGAGGGGTTTGGCTCGTCTCAGCAAGCAGGAGTCCGTCTCCTGTGCCATCATGGCTCAGCGGGATCAGCAGAACACACTGGGAATCAAATGATATGCGATAGGTCTGGTCACATGGTCAGCCCTAACCATCAGGGGAGCAGGGGTGTCCTGTGGTAGGGATACTGCTCGGGTTCCAGGAAGAGGAAGACATGGAGATAGGAAAGCCGGTGGAGCCACCAAGGTGGGAATGGTCAGTAGTGGGTGGGGGGGAGCCGGGAGATGGCCGGTGTGGACCCCCGGGGCTCAGGTAACGACTACCAGGCCAAAGTGTTTCCGCAGCTGCTCCAGAAAGATGAAGGTCAGCACGGTGTGAGGGATGAGACGGATGCCGGCCGGAACCAGGCCCTGCAATGCGATTGGACAGTCAGCAGCAGCAGAAACAGGCAGCTGAAATGCAATTGGGTGAGCCATATCAGGTCCCGCCCACTCTGCCAGTCAAATATAAAACAATGGGGTAGGGCATAGAAGCTGATCCTAGAAGGTGGTCAGAGGGGAACATCCCTGCTTCTCAGGAGTCCCCAAATGGGAGAACCTCAGAATCCCTTAGCAGACACTGTAAGTCCAAGATCTCCTCTAATATCATCCTAAAGATGGCTGATGTCTGAAGGCTCCTGCACCTCCTTAGACCTTTATCTCCAGCACCTTTGGGATGACCCAGATTGCAATCACAGCTTTTGACAGACCCTGAGTGACGTATGGGTTCGCTCGTCTTACCTTGTAGAAGGCCAGGGGTCCCAGCCGGGCCGTGTCCCTCAGGCAGTGCATCAGGCCCTGGAACAGAGCAGGGCTTACTCATCAAGAGAGACCCCAGGCACCCTGGCACTGTGTGCGGGCGGCGACCCCAGGCACCCCGGCACTGTGTGCGGGCGGCGACCCCAGGCACCGCTGCACTGTGTGCGGGCGGCGACCCCAGGCACCCCGGCACTGTGTGCGGGCGGCGACCCCAGGC